ACCCTTCCAATAGGTTCCAATGGAACCTCCGCTAAGCACATAGGGTCGGAGTCCCCAGCCACCTTCTACTAGAGACTAGAGCCAGTGTACCTGCTTTACACGTGGGTCCTCAGGAGAATATTTTCTTCCAGCAAGGTATCTCAGAGGAGGGAGAATTCCATACAGTAGAACAGCCTTGAGCCTTAAATCAGACCTGGTTCTAGCCTAAAGTTTGTCAATGAGGTAGACAGCTTAACTGCACCTTCTACAGGTCTAGACTTCATCATAAAATGAAATGGCTCACTAGGCGTGAACTCTCAGGAGTTCGAGACCAGCCTGACCAACATGGTGAAACCCTGTCTCTACTAAAAACACAAAAATTAGCCGGCTGGGGTGGTGCACGCCTGTAATCCCTGCTATTCTGGAGGCTGAGGTAGGAGAATCTCTGGAACTCAGGAGGCAGAGGTTTCAGTGAGCCAAGATTGCACCACTGCACTCCAGTCTGGGTAATAGAGCAAGATTCCATCTCAAAAGTAAATAAATAAATAAATGGCTCAATTATAAATCATCTGCAATATTCCTTCTAGGTCTAAAACTCTAGAATCAGCCAGGGGCAGTGGCTCGTGGCTGTAATCCCAGCACTTTGGGAGCCCAACGTGGGCGGATCGCCTGGGGTCAGGAGTTCGAGACAAGCCTGACCAACATGGTGAAACCCCTTCTCTACTAAAAATACAAAAAATTAGCCAGGAGTGATGGTGGGCACCTGCAATCCCAGCTACTTGGGAGGCTGAGGCAGGAGAATTGCTTGAAACCAGGAGGTGGAGGTTGCAGTGAGCCGAAATAATCCCACTGCACTCCAGCCTGGGCCACAGAGCGAGATTACGGCTCAAAAAAAGAAACAAACAAAAACTCTAGAATCTATGTCTACCGCTACCAAATGTTTCAAATGAAGATAATGACAACTTTCTCTCTATAGCAACTCTCAGTTCTCAGGAACTTTTCCTGTTCATACCTTTCCAACAGGCTTATATTGAGTTCAGAGACCCCTACATTTAACACAAATGAGGAACTATTCCAATGAAATGTTTTAATTAAAATTAATCTGTGGAATGTTACTTTTACTAATTGTTTACTCTGAAATTAATGTCTAAAACACACACACACACACACACACACACACCCCCGAAAAACCCCACCAACACTCTATTCTAGACAGTAGCTCAGCTTTATTTTCTTGATCTCCCAGAGATGTTCTTTTTTCCTGGAACTAGGGAACATTTTATGTGTTAAAGTAGTAGAGAAATAGTAGACGCCAGTACCATCTATAGCAAGTCAAAAGGCCTCTGATTTTTCATTTATTTGATAGTGCTGACTTTATCTGTTTTCAAGAAATGTTTTTCCTTTTGCTGGATTAAATACTAGTGACAGGTAAAAAGCAGAGTAAGCAACAACAAATAATGGGTTTCACCATGCTCTCCTCCTGGCTTGCCTATTAACTAGCTGTGTGGCCTGGAGCACATTACCTAACCTTTCTGAATCTCAATGTATTCATCTGCAAAATATGGATAATAACACACCAGTGCCACTAATGCTCCACCACCCACCACCACCAGTGGGTTAAATGAGGGAGAAGGGATAAGGCCAGGCACAAGAAGCAGGCAAAGTATGGGTTCTCTCACTGACTCTTCAAAGCATAAGCATTTGCTTCATTTTCAAAAGTATGGACACTGCTACCAATGAACTCTGGTGATTAAACAGAAACAAGTTATAGAAGATCCATGTAGGTTGAATCAGTCCAGAGCCAACCAGGAGTGGAAGCAAAAGTTAGGCGCCCAGGCCGGGCGCAGTGGCTTATGCCTGTAATCCCATCATTTTTTTTTTTTTTTTTTTTTTGAGACGGAGTCTTGCTCTGTCACCCAGGCTGGAGTGCAGTGGCGTGATCTCCGCTCACTGCAAGCTCCGCCTCCCGGGTTCATGCCATTCTCCCACCTCAGCCTCCCAAGTAGCTGGGACTACAGGAACCTGCCACCACGCCTGCTTCATTTTTTTGTATTTTTAGTAGAGACGGGGTTTCACCATGTTAGCCAGGATGGTCTCGATCTCCTGACCTCGTGATCTGCCCACCTCGGCCTCTCAAAGTGCTGGGATTATAGGCGTGAGTCACTGCGCCCGGCAATCCCAGCACTTTAAGAGGCCGAGGCAGGAGGATCACTCAAGCCCAGGAGTTCAAGACCAGCCTGGGCAACAAAGCAAGTCCCTGTCTCTACAAAAGTAAAAAAATTAGCCAGGTTGGCAGCACACACCTGTTGTCCCAGCTACTCAGGAGGCTGAGGTGGGAGGATCACTTGAGCCCAGGAGATGGAGGCAGAAGTGAACCAGGATCACACCACTGCACTCCAGCCTGGGTGACAGAGCAAGACCCTGTCTCGAAAGGAAAAAAAAAGTTAGGCTTCCAAAGTTTATCTAAACATCTTCTTTTAAGAAACTCAAGTTGCTTCCTCATTTTCAATGTTAAGGTCAGTGTAAAAGGGAATGGTGGAGACTGTGGAATTTACTATCAGTTCTGACTTTAGGGGTTTAACATCTGGCAAACTAGGCCTCATGTCTTCATTCATCATCAGATTTAGCTAATCTGAATCCTTTTAATTGGAAACATCTATTAATCTAAATTGCCCTCCTGCTTCTCTGACAAAGCAGAAAATGACTTCAGAATATGAACCTTACAGAAACTGAATCATACTTTAGCCAAAATGAATTATACATTAAAGAATTTATAATTATATTACAGGTGGAGTCTGATGAGTCTGATTTTGTTGGCCAATTAAGAAAGGAAGGGCTGGCCGGGTGCAGTGGCTCATGCCTGTAATCCCAGCACCTTGGGAGGCTGAGGCAGGCGGATCACCTGAGGTCAGGCATTCAAGACCAGCCTGGCAAACATGGCGAAACCTCATCTCTACTAAAACTACAAAAATTAGCCGGGCGTGGTGGCAGGCACCTATAATCCCAGCTACTCGGGAGGCTGAGGCAGAAGAATTGCTTGAATCCGGGTGGTGGAGGTTGCAGTGAGCTGAGATCTCGACATTGCACCCCACCCTGGGCAACATAGCAAGGTTCCATCTCAAAAAAACAAAAAAGAAAAGAAAAAAGGAAGGAAGGAAGGACGGACGGAAGGAAGGAAGGGCCTCCACCTACATCGTTCAAATGTAATTACCCCATGTTATACCTGTGGATACTTCGGTACAAAAACAGAAGTGGGAAAAGCATCTGCCTGAGTGTTTCAGAAAGCCTGAAAAGGGAATTAACTAGGATAAAGAGATTTTGTAGGTAGTAGAGAAGCTTCTAGAACTGGTTCTTTTCTTGATTATCACCTGTAATTTTCTGTGTATTCCATGCAGTCCCAACATTGCTCCTAGAATCCAAACTCATATCAAAAAACAAGGTCATTAGGAGATAGAGTAGAGGGATCCACGCCTCCCAGGTGAATTACTGTAGCTCAACTGCCCAGAAGGTGGGACGATATCCACCTTTTCTGGAAAGACCTATTAACCAGTCCCATTCATTTGCCTTTCGCTTTCTCCACAAAGCTATGTCCTGCTTCTCCACTTACAAGGTCATATGCAACTCGAATCTCTGTCTACCCATCTGGCATCCACCCTTCCAGACCCTACTTAAATGCTACCTCCTCAAATGCCAAAGAACTCCAAAATTCGGTTGATCATTCTGGTGGAAGCTGATCTCTCCCTCCTTGGCAGCCTGTGTACCCCTGATGCGTTTTGTAAACTTGCAGCTACTTTGATTTTGTCTTGGATTGTACTTGGGTCTTGCCTTAACCCTTGGTCCAGATGGCAAATACGGACAGCCTCTGTGAGCACAGCCACGTTCTCAGTTAAGGATCTTTTTCTCTCCCAAAGCGCATCGCCCCTCTCACCAAGTGGTGGCTCAATAACATATCTGATAGTTTCAAGGCATCAGATTTAAATATAAAGACGGTGTGGGTGGCTGATTTCATGTGTGTTGCCACACCAAACCATACTAGTGAGTTTCACGTTGCCGTGCTTGGCTTTGGGCTCCCTTGCTGTCCCTGGACAGAGACGCTCAGCAGTCGTGAAATCACCACAAAGGTGGGCAGGAAGAAGGGGAAGAAAGGGAAGCCGGGGCTGGAATAATCCAGTCTGAGTCACCACTTCCTGAATGCTGGGGCTCGTGGCTTCGCAGGTTCGGGAAAAGGGCAGCAAAGCCGCGCTTGGAGGACAAGCCCCCGCCCCGCGCCCGGCGCCCCCAGCCGGCAGCCGCTGCCCCGGCACCACGTGCTGGAGCGCCCTCCTGTGGCCGCGTCGCAGCCTCAGCCGCTCCCGGCTCGCGGGCCGACCACGCTCCCCGCGGCGGAAGAAATAAGAGACGCAGAAAGTTTCCGAGCCAGGCGGTTTGCGAAAGGACAGAGCCGGGTCCCGAGCCTCGAAGGGCGGACGTGCCGGGAGCGGCGCCCAAGACCGCGGCGACGGCGAGAAGTCGGGCCCCGCAGGGACCTCCCCCAAGGGCTCCGAGGTGCCCCCCGCGGGGCTCTGGGCGTGCAGATCCCGAGGGCGCAAGGCTCCTCCTTGCACCCCGACCTGACCGCAGAGGGCGGGGAGGGGAAGATGGGCCCACGGCCAGGACGGGGTGCCCCCCAAACCCCAGCTACAGCGCGCGCCGGGGGCTCTTGGGTTTGCTTTATTCATTTTCTTATTTGGAAGGAGGGGGCGCACCCACTCCCTTTGGCTCATTGTGATCCCCAACAGTCTGGATTCTGGGCGCCCCCAAAGAGCCCACCCAGAGTCCGCCGCCCCACCCAACGCCGCCCTCCCCCGCTGGGGTGACAAGTGGAAGCCGCAAATCCCCTCCCTCCTCTCCTCCAGCCTTCGGGCTTGCGGGGTAACGTCCACCTGGGTTTCCTGCCGCTAGCCCGGGGCTCGCCGGCCAGGAGGCGGCGGCGGCGGCGGCGGTCCCGGAGCGGGCGAGGCCGGGCCGGGCGCGGCGCTTACCTCGTCTACGGTGAGCGGCATGCAGATCCGGTACTCTTTCAGCAGCATGGTCCTGCCGGCCGCGGATCCCCGGGGCGGGAAGCTGGGGGCGCCCTCCAGACCAGCAAGGCTGCCGCCCAGGCGCAGGGCAGGGCGCCCGGAGCCCAGCGCTCGTAGCCGGCGGGCGAAGCAGCCCCCGCGGCAAGCTCAGCTCCTGGCTTCCTCCTCTCGGCCCCAGAGCATGTCAGGGTTTGGGTCCGGGTGTTCGCAGCTCCTCCGCCTCCTCCCTCGCCGAGGCCGGTCCTCCCAGAACGCGGTGTTGCAAAGTCAGGGAGGTAGGGAGGGAGACCCGCTGGTGACGGCTCTGCTCGGCAGCCCAGGGTGGTAGGAGCGGCCGCCAGATCAGGACATGCCTGGCAGCGAGCGAGGGAGGAAAAAAGAGAGATTTCCAAAAATTAAAACGAATGCACAAAAGTCACCCGCTCGATCCGCCTCCGAAAGCAGAAGGGAACCTGGCGAACCCCCTCCTTCGGCGGGTCTGCCCGATGCTAATGTCACCAGGAACACATTGCAGCCGGAGCCGGAGATGCTGACTTTCCAGACAAAGGCTCGATCGGCTCCTCTCCGCGGGCGGTAAACAAGATTTCCTGCTCTTTTTAGGGCCGGTCCCCGCGCCGCTCCGGGGCTCGGCTCGGGGAGAAAAGGGAAGCCGCCGCCGCCGCCGCTCGGTTCTGCCCGGCTGGGGCCCCGGGCGCCTCCAACCTCAGCTCGCGGCTGCTAGGGGCGGGCGGGAGGAAGCTGGCGCCTTCCGCGCGCGTCCCCTCCCCCGAGTCCCTTGGCTCCCCGGGCGCCGTGCGTGCCCGCGAGTTTGCAGCCACCTCGCCGGGGCCGGAGCGTCCGCGCCGATGCAGTGTGCCTGGGCCCGGGAGGTGGGTGCGGGAGGAGCGAGCGCGAGCAAGGCTGACATCAGCAGCGGCCGCGGCGGGGAGGGTAGCCCCATCCGGCCAATGGGGAAATGGCAAAGAATGTGGAGGATTTAAACAAAACAGCGTGTCTCTGCCAGACGGCGGGGCTGCTCCGGAGCGAAGCCCGGCCGGCGCTGGGGAGGCTCGGGCAGAGGGGCTTCCCTCGGCTCCTTTGCCCTTTGAATCCGCTCTCCATTGTGCCCTGAGTGCCGCCGAGCTCCATCCAGCCCCTCTGGGCAGTTTCTGATCCCCTGACCCTAGGGACAAGTCACCAATGCCCACCACCTATGTGTGGTCCAGTAAGCAAGTCCAGGGCTGGAGAGGCAATGGGTGGGATTTGGGAACAAACCCTTGCCTGGTTTCAGAGGAGAGATCCTGGAAAACTGAGAAGTGCAGCCGTGTGAATGGAAATGAAGTACAAACAGGGGGAGGGAACAACCAGAGAGCACATGAACCCCACGTAGCCTGTTACCTCGCCTGGCCCGGCTCTGCAATCTTTCTGCAGATTGTGCAGGCTCCGCACAGCAGAAAGAAAGAGTAGGTTTTCGTATCCGCACTCCTAAGTTCAAAAAGTCAGTGAAATGTCAATGAAAATGCCTGGAGTGTTGCTATTTCATCCATATTAAACAGATCCCTCATTTTAACCACAAGAAGCACATTCTTCAGTTACTCAGGAAGCAGCATGGAACTGCTGAAGTCTGTTTTTCATTTGTCTGGTATTTTTCAGCTTGTTTTTATGAAAACTTGCCGGATGAAAAATGCATCAGTTGCCTGTATGAGAATAACCTGTAAGCGTTATCTTTTCTCCGAAAAATCTTCACGCTCTGAGGTCCTGAGGCTAGAACTTGGATGGGGATGCAGATGCCTCAATATAGAATTTTGAATTGTGATTAATAAGTAATTAACCAATATGACGATGATGGGCTTGTGGCAAAAGTCATCCAGAGGGCTGGAGAGAATGTATAACTGTGTTAACTGATACAAACCCTCCTAGGAAAATGATACCCTGTATCCAGCTTATATTTTAGTGGAAACTATTTTCCAGATAAATGCTTTCCAGAGTTGGCTCAGAAATATTCACAGCAACTAATTAAAGCTAAACCAAATTCCTCGAGGTGGAAAATCTAAATCTGACACTGCAGTGTTGAATAATAACACATTGGAAGGCTGTGATATGGAAAGAAACTCAAGCTGTTTTTCCTTTTTTTTTTTTTTTTTTTTTGCTTCTTACTTGAAAACAAATGGAAGACCTAATAATCTTCCCAGAGGCAGGAAGGCAAGGGATTGGCTAGCCCCACATACGCATTCACATAGGACATCGGGATGTGTAGGCTCGGTTCCTGGTTTCCTGGACATTTCCTGACACTGATTCTGGAAGGAAGTATTCTACTGATGGGTGACACCGTCGAGAAGCTACTTCTCTGAATTTTCCGAACTGTAAATTGTCACGTATATGCTTCCTCCATCACCCCTCTTGTTGTTGTTGTTGTTGGTTTGTGACAGAGTTTCGCTCTTATTGCCCAGGCTAGAGTGCAATGGCATGATCTCGGCTTACTGCAACCTCCACCTCCCCGGTTCAAGCAAGTCTCCTGCCTCAGTCTCTGGAGCAGCTGGGATTACAGGCGCCCACCACCACCCCTGGCTAATTTTGTATTTTCGGTAGAGATGGGGTTTCACCATGTTGGTCAGGCTGGTCTCAAACTCCTGAGCTCAGGTGACAGCCCCGGCCTCCCAAAGTGCTGGGATTACAGGTGTGAGCCACCACGCCCAGCCCACCCCTCCTGTTGTAAGGTGACTTCTCCATTGGATTCTTGTTTTCATTCAGTGCATCCGCAGACCTGGTCATACTAATCTTGTGCAAGTACAGCTCTCATCCTGCCACCTTCAAAACCTTATAGCGATTCCTGGCTGGGCTCGGTGGCTCACTCCTGTAACCCCAGCACTTTGAGAGGCCGAGGCGGGCCGATCGCATGAGCCCAGGAGTTCAAGAACAGCCTGGGAAACATGCTGAAACCCTGTCTCTAAAATTAAAAAACATATAAAAACCTTTTGGGGCTTCTCTATGGCCTACTGAGCAAGTCAAAATGCCTTGGTAGGAGTTTCGAGGCTCTGGATCTACCTTTCCCACATTAGTCCATTACCCTTCCCAGCCCAACTCCAGCCAAACGAGAGGAGTTCGTTGGCTGCAAAAGCCCCTCCTCCCCAGCCACCTTTCTATCTCAACACTTCTGCTGTTCAACCCATTGCCTTCACAGATAATCCCTCTCCCCAGCTCAATTCCCATGACACCATTTTAAACCCAGGCCTTGGCAATCTGTGCTTCAGACAGTGGTTCTGATAGCAGTGAGCTGGAGAGGCTAGCAGAGGTGGGAGGGGCGGGGTGCAGAGCATAGGGAGGGCATATTCATTCATAAGTCATGCACACTGAGGGCGGGGCGCGCCATCTGCTGGCCAAGCGCGGTGGTTTCCAGTCCTGTCCTGAGCAAGTGTCTGGCAAGAATTGTATCTTTGTTTCTTCTCAAACAATGAGGTGCAATATCTACTTACAAAAAACCTTGAAGCTGTTGCTATCATCATCATGGACAGTCATGATGTTCCGTTAACAATGTACAATCTGCTGTGGCTGATCATCACATTTTTTTAATGGGGGTGGGGCACAAAAGGCAAAAAGGAACAAAACAGTAAAGTTACCAGAGAGGAATGATAAGACAAAGAGGAAACGAATATGAGTCTGTGCATGTGTGTGACAGGCACACCAAGATCATTTAAGAAGATCATTTCAACCTATTCTCTTCGAGGCATTCTGATGATCTCTTTAATCCTCCCTGTTTGTGTGAAAAAACTAATACGGTCTTGACCCACCTCTGTAAACAGCCTCTGAAAGAAAAGTGTACTTAACAGGTATTTCTGACGATTAAAAAATGAAAGCCGGGCATGGTGGCTCACGCCTGTAATCCCAACACTTTGGGAGGCCGAGGTGGGCGAATCACTTGAGATCAGAAGTTCAAGACCACCCTTGCCAATACGGTGAAACCCCGTCTCTACTAAAAATACAAAAAGTAGCTGGGCGTGGTGGCTTGCACCTGCAGTCCCAGCTACTTGGGAGGCTGAGGCAGAATTGCTTGAATATGGGAGGCAGAAGTTGCAGTAAGCCGAGATCATGCCACTGCACTCCAGCCTGGGTGACAGAACAAGACTCTGTCTCAAAAAAAAAAAAAAAGATTTGTCCCTTCTCTATATATATTTATTTATTCAAATATAAATATATATATATATATATGTGTGGATTCATGCTTATTTATTTTATACTTCAAGTTATAATCAATAATATAATCAATATTATGTTATTTATTTTGCTCAGACAATTCCAGCATTGGCCATTGGGAGCTCTTTCTGGTTGACTCCTATGTGCTTTTGACATGCCTCTTTTTGGTTTTTGGTTTTTTTTGAGCCGGAGTCTTGCTCTGTCACCCAGGCTGGAGTGCAATGGTTCAATCTCAGCTCACTGAAACCTACACCTCCCAGGTTCATGCGATTCTACTGCCTCAGCCTCCTGAGTAGCTGGGATTACAAGCACCTGCCACCAAGCCCGGCTTTTTGTATTTTTAGTAGAGATGGGGTTTCACCATGTTGGCCAGGCTGGTGGGGAACTCCTGACCTCAGGTGATCCACCCGCCTTG